TTTTTAAATGGCAGAATATGTATATTAAAATGTGCCGCCTAAACCATTTTAGGTATATAATTCAGTGGTGTTTATTGCCATCACAGTATTATGCAGCTATCACCACTGTATTTCCAAAACTTTCATAGCAAAAGTTTCATAGATATTACAGGTGTTCAACAACATATTAATCAGTTTTAAGCAAATCATTATTTTTTGAAGGTTTGTTGTATATTTACAATAAGGCATACAACACGATGTTTTGACACATATACTCAGTGAAATGGGTACAACGGTCAAGCTAACATGAGGAGACTTCAAAATGTGAAAAATGGAATTAGAAAGTAAATTTAAGGGTGTAAATAATTTTTTGAAATCCAAGTTTAGTTTTCATAATATGCATTTCCATGAGCTTTTTGTAAACTTCCACATACTTTTCACCTTACACAGTTACCATTTGAGTGTATGACCAAAGAACATACAAATATAAATTTTCCTGCTGTTAGAAAACACGATCCCACACTGAAGTGAAAGATGACAAGCTACACTGTCCTCAATTCCATTTCACGATTATGAGTCCTTTTTACTTTGCAGAGTGATGATGGTGACCACACAGACCCATATGCACGTAGTTTACAAAATATGTCACTCTCCAGTGGCTGGCAATGTCGTCAACTGTCATCCCAAATCGGCCAAATTTGAGTTTCAATTGCTCCACTTCTGATTCAGCTCTCTGCTAAGTCTTCTGGGAAACCAGTGGAGGATGGCCCATGCATTTGGGTCCTGCATCCACGTGGGAGACCTGGCTGGAATTCCAGGCTCCTGGCTTTGGCCTGTTCTAGCCCTGGCCATTTTAACAATTTGGGGACTGAACCAATGGGTGGAAGATATCTTTCTCTCTGTGTCTCTCCCCTTCTCTCTGGTAACTCTGCCTTTTAAACAAACAAAATTCTTTAGAGATGGAAGATCAGAGTATTATAACTTATTTTTTCAAAATACTTTTAATTTTTTTGAATTTAAAGCAAAAACACTATGCTTTACAAGTGTACTTTTGAACTTAATGACAATTAAGGCAGAAACCTGAAAGTTTTTCTTAGCAAATGCCCTGAACACAGGTACTGTGCTGACTGACTTGTGGTCCCTACAGCAGTTCACACACGCCTTCAGACAGCAGTGACAAGTGGAGGCAGGCAGGCCTTGCAAATGCTCCCAGTTCTTCACCAACACCTGGGGAGTCCTACTGGAAGGCCTGTCTTTCTAAGCCTATGTTTTCAAACGTTGGGCTGGATAGAGCCCAAATACTGAAGTAACAAATATTACTAGATTCTGTCATTTCCTCTACCAAAAAAAGTGATTTTACTACTACTTGTGGTTGTGATGAAAGGTCCTTTTGACTATTCAAACCCGCAACCAAATTATGGACGCAGTATTAGATCACTTCACTCCTTTTGCCCCAGCACTTTAACACATGCCAATGCTTTCATCCACCTCCACTAGCATGGCTTATAAATTACTGAGGAGGGATCCTTTTAATAGTCTGATTTGTTCACATCTCTAGAGATGGGGTGCAAACAAGCCTGGCAGAGAAGACAAACTCCTCCTTGAAAATATGTGTTCCTATACATGTGCATGAACATAAATCTTCAAAATGTGGAAGTATCTTATACTTGTTTAGGAGCCGTAACAACCAATGTTGTTTGATTGGTTACAAATTAAAACATGGAAAAGTGATGTAGTATGGCTAAAGACAAAATGAAACCATCCCTGAGAAACACCGAGAGATAAAATCAGTAGTGCTGAAGTGGGAGGAAAAAAAAATAGCTAGAAGCCATAAATTTGCTAAAAGTATTTTCTAAAGTATTCAAAAGGCAAATCCTTTGAGTATACTTTAAAATTTAAGAAAGTCTGTTTTCTTTCAAGATTTATTTATTACCAAGGCAAAGCAACAGGGAGAAGGAGAGAAAGAGACACAAAGATCTCCCACCTGCTGGTTCACTCCCCAGAAGGCTGAAATGGCCGGGTCTGGGCCAGTCTGAAGCTGGAAGCCAACAGCTTCAGACAGTTCTCTCTCCCAAATGTAGGAGCCTAAGCACTTGCGCTAATATTTTGCTGTTTTCCCAGGTACATTAGCAGGGAGCTGCGTGGGAAGCAGAACAGCTGGCACTTGAACTGGTGCCCATATGGATGCTAGTCTCACAGATGGTGGCTTACTTTGCTATGCTACAACACTGGCCCCAAGAAGGCCTGCTTAAAGAAGTTTATTTGGCTCCTCCTTTTAAAACTGCAACTACAGTGATGAAACAAAAACAAAAAACTTCAAAATAAAAAACTTCAAAACAAAATGCTTGCTCCGTACGGATTTGGAGTGGTTAATCTGCTGATTTTAGACACACACACACACACACACATACACACATTCCCTAAAAAAAAGTATAAAGTTGGAATGGATACATAGTTACCAGAAGTAATCCATTCTCAAACAGATGACTAAAGATAGTTCAACATGTCTGTTGCCATGGTTCAGTTAAGAATAAAACTGGGGGCCACTTGGAAAGTGCCCTCACATGGGGACCGAACAGGGATTGCAGCCAAGAGAACTGACTTTCCTAGGTCTTCCACTGCACATGGTCAACTCCCACCTTGATCCTGCTTTCAAAGCTAGCTAGGTCATTCTCAGTAGCTCTCTGCCACATCCTTCAGTATTCCCATTGGGCCTTAGAAAGAAAGTGTGTGTGTGTGTGTGTGTGTGTGTGTGTGTGTGTGCGCGCACACACATGCATTTGTATTAGCCAGCACACACATATATCTGTGGGTCTGAAGCTGAGATTTATGAGGAAATCTTAGCATTTAGGCAGGAGCAGGTTCCATGTGAAAGCTAACAACAGCCTCTCAATATTAATACTCATGTGCTTGCAGGAAAAAACAGTATGACAAGGAGAGATGAACCTCTGAACTCAGATCAGAACTTAGTGCAACTAAATGATGCCAACTCTACTCAAGATTCTGGTCCCTGTGGAATTCCTGTTCTCTCTCCAACATGGCTGACTTCACAGCAGGTGCTCCCTACTTCACTTCTTCCTTAACACCATCTTAGTCTGGGCACTTGTTGACCAGTTTTGTCAAAGCACCACCTCTCTCATGGTATGATCAGCAGAATATGAGCTAAGCAGCCTTCAAATTAAAGGTCTGCTTCTTCGGCTGGAATATCTATCTGCCAAAAACCGAGGGAGGGAAAGCATCATGGTGGGAGGAATGGTACATGGAAAGGTGAGTCATGGCCAGAGGCAGTGAGCAAGGCTGGGATGAGGAACATGAGTTAGAGGGGAATTAACAGCAAAGCCATACGACTGAGAGGGCATCAGCTTGAGGCTCTGAGTCAAATGATTTAAGTGAGGGCTGCAAATTAGAAATCTGATCCAAGTTTAGAAAAGTATGACAATCTTAATTAAAAACAAAATTATGGAAGCTCCAACATTCAGCTGAGTTTGGTTGAGGAGAAGAAAGGCAGAGTTGACAGTGCATGCAGGAATAACTCTAGATCAGACACACAGGGACAAGGGGGTTGTTCAGAAAGAGTTTATATTCCTAAGGATGAAAGACAATTCAGGCTCATAAAAATAAAAGCACCACAAGCTTTCTGACTTCTATAAAGCTGAAAGGTCAGAGGATACAACCGCTGGTGTTCTAAAATAACAGCCAAACTGTGGACACATATCCATGTTGATTTCCAACTGGACAGAAGTCCAAATACAAAATACTGACCTAGTCTTCCTTTTTTAAAGAAAATAATTTATTTACTTGAAAGAAAGAAAGAGAGAGGGCCCAGAGCGGTAGCCTAGTGGCTAAAGTCCTTGCCTAGCAAGCGCCAGGATCCCATATGGGTGACAGTTCATGTCCTGGCAGCCCCACTTCTCTTCCAGCTCCCTGCTTGTGGCCTGGGAAGGCAGGCAAGGATGGCCCAAAACCTTGGGACACTGCACCCATATGGGAGACCTGGAAGAGGCTCTGGGTTTCTGGCTTTGGATCAGCTCAGCCCCAGTTGTTGCAGCCACTTGGAAAATGAATCATTGGATGGAGGATCTTTCTCTCTGTCTCTCCTCCTCTCTGTGTATGATTTTCCAATAAAAATAAAATAAATCTTTAAAAAAAAATAAGAGAGAAAGTGAATGAACATGAATGAATAAAATATTTTTTATCTGTTGGTTTGCTCCTCAAATGGCTCCAAAAGCCAGGGCTGGGCTAGATCAAACCATGAGCCAGAAACCCTGACTAGGTATCCCACACGGATGTCCAGGTCTCCCACATGCCAGGTACTTGGATCTTCTGCTGCCTTCCCAAGTGTATTAGGAGCAAGCCAGATTGGAAGTAGAGCAGCTAGGACTCATATCAGTACTCTGACATATGATGCTAGTGTTGAAAGTGGCAGACCTCTAGTCTTCCTTCACAGCCAGGAAATTTAGGGAACATTAACCAGTTATGCTAAAATATGCCACATAATTGTTTCAGCAAAATACAAACTCATGCATCAGATAGTCTTACTATAGCATGTAAACAATATTATTCAAGTGGGATAATAACTGAAATGATGCTGAGAGAGCCACAAAAAGCAAAAGCTCGTTTAGAAGGACCATATGCTCTATTTTTTCACTTGGGCTCTGGAGATCATTAAGGACTTGCCAAAGCATTAAGCTTTTACTTCATAAACAACAATGTAAAATGAGTCTCCAGGTCTGGGTGGAAGAGAGGAAACTGATTTCTGGTCAAGCTGCAGTAAAAAAAGAGTATAAAGGCCACATATTGTAGTGCATTCTATCAAGGAAAGAACACAGAAAAGAGTTTCTAAATTTTGAAGGATTCCAATTCATACCCACGGGCTCTCTACAGTCACCATAAGACAACAGAGTAAGTTGTTTAGATGATGCAAGGGTCAAATCAACACTTACTTAGAAAGAAGGTGAGCAGTCCAAGGAAAGAGGCTGTAATGTGTGAAGTAGGAGCAGGGGTAAAGAAGAGTTACTTACCTGTGCTATATTTTTGTTCAGAAGATAGACACCATAATCAAATTGCAACTTCTCCCCTCCTTTCGGATAGAGTGGAAACCTAAGAAAGGTAAATAGGATCAGAGTTTTCCAAAATTGAGTAAATACACCTCCAACTTGTTGACAGAGGATGAAACTTCTCAGCCATAGCATAAATACCTCATGAATTGTTACAGTCACTGTTATCTACTAAGATCTTCATAATATTAGTCAAGTCAGACCAACAGTTACTACTTTCAAAGGGCAAACTCGATGGTTCACACAGCAAGGGACTAACAGACGATGGAGTGGGGCACCAACTCCAAGGAGCTGAGGCCACTGCTCTCAATGATTGTTATCCTAAGATTAAGATCCCTGAAGTTTTTCCCTCTAATATATTGGATCTGACATCTCAAGTTCTACTAAACATGACAGGAAAACTAAGGTGAAAAAAGCAGGCTTAAAAGAAATACATAAGATCTCTGCTTCTTTTAAGGTGGCCAGTCAAATCAACAGTGCCAACATGAGCCAAGATCCAATCAAAATTTATGCACACATCCAGGGATGCAACTACTCTGAGGCAACATGCTCAGGCGGTCAGGCTCTCATCAGTGACTTTCCACTTTAACCTGACTCACAGAAGACACAAAGCACAAGATCTGGGTCCTAATGACAGTGAGTTATTTTAGAGACCAACTTTCCCTCCTAGGTTCCCTTTCCTCATATCTGTAAAGAAAGAGGAAAAGATTAGGACAAATTTATATTCTAGTCATTTCCTCCCAGAGTCTAAAGATCAAACATAAAATTTTATTGTCTGGATTAGATTTCTCTACAAACAGATGAATTGTAACTTATAACTTAGATCAAGAAGAAAACTTGATTTTCCTCAGTTTTCCAATATATGATTGCCCTCAAGGATAAAATAATCTTGTTGAAATGCATGGTAAGTGACAATTACTGGATATCCTTAATTGCAAGTGTCTTTTAATCATCTGAAGAAGAAAAAAAAATGTATTCTGTCAAGCTCAGAAGAGACTGTTTTCTAAAAGAAATAAAAGAAAGGAAATAATTTAGAAGTTTTATATCACACTCTCAAGAGTTGCTGGTTATATAGTATCCAAAAGATAAACTTGCTATAATGTAAAGTTATAAGCACTGGGGAGAGAGCAAGGTCATGCACTATATTTATTCTCTACTAAGGGAAACCAAATGCTTCAGACACTCCTCAAGAAGATATAACTTTATATTTAATTGAAACAGTAAAAAATAAACTAGGACATGTGGTTTGGCTTCAAATTGCAATGCATAAAAACGATAACAAAGCAAAATAAGGATAAGCAATGTACAACTTGAGGCTTGTGCAAGGTGTCTGGGAATAATTCAAACACACATGGAGCAGCATGCAAAGAAACTACACACTTACAAAGACATACAAAGGGGCACTTTAAAGGAATCTGCTAGAGTCCTAAAGCTTTGTATTGTGTAGTTGTTTTTCTGGAAGCCAACAAGTTCAGACTATCTGAACAACTCTCTAACCCCATAGCTGTCTCCATTTTCAAGTTATAAATCCAGAAACTGTTTCATATGTTGGAAGGTAAATTGAGAAAAGCACGCATTGAAAATCAGGCCTTTCCATCCCTGAAAAATGGCTCTTACAACACTTGGCTTTATGATGACTTCAATGAGACTTCTTTATAGAGAAGGCACAAGGTATGCATGTGGAGTTAAAACAAATCTAAAGCATGTTTAGAGCCAAAGGTTGAAAGAGGGCAATACTAATATAGATCAAATATTAGGACAGAGTTTATATTGCTTTCAAATTCTTAATGGGTCACTTCAAGTTGAACAGTGTAATAGCTTATAACTATCATACATTCATTTTACTTTACAAAAGTACATGGATTTATAGATCCATTAAGCATTCTGGGAAAATGGAATTCATCTTGAAGGTCAAAACCTATTACCATTAGAACATAAGATACAAGTCAAAGGCATTTTATTTCAGTGCAGATAGAGAATAAGATTAGCAAAATGAAAGAAGTCTTAATAAGATGTGGTTATTTAACTACAATTAGGAAAGTCTCTAATACCACAGAGGGATTGCATTAGAGGGAAGCATTACAATAACTAATGAGAAGATGAACTATGTATTTCCTATTAATGCAGTTATTATTTTATTAATTGTCACATGAAATTAAAGTTGTCACACATACTTTTAAAATTAAACATTTTTAAAATCATTCAGTGTGCAGAGTGTAAAATCGGTGGATTAGAAAGTAATAGTTTATGCAGCACAGTTCCATCTGAGGGTTACTGTCACTGTAACTCACACCAGGTGGTAAGAGTGACTGGGGAGAACTTACAGACCTCCAGCCTTAATTATAGGATCCCACATTTATCTACTGTATATAATCTTTTTGTGGTGGACCATCACATCGACTTAAGTAAATTTGTAGTCCTTTCTTTTTCCAGTCTGTCTCTAATTTTATATCCACTGTGTGATCATTATTAATGTGTGTCTATTAGCATACTGTATGCTCCAAGAGGGTGGAAACAGGTCCTGTTGTATCCCTGTTTCACCTCTCTGGTCAAGTGGCTAGCACTGTTACTTGTGGATACTCAATAAGAGTATGCTGAATGGAAGAAAATAGATTATGTGTGAAAAAGATCTGGAGTTCTTCAGCACACAGCAATCCTAATGTAAGTAGAGGATTAGGCCTGAGTATAAAACAGCTAATGTGGTCCCAGACTGTGCTAACAAATGCACAGCAGCTCAACTGGATAATGCACTTAGTGACAACTAACTTGGCTAACATATATTACCAACATAGATATATTATTGCAGCATCAGGTAGTAATTAACATATAAACACTTACAGAGATAAAATGCATAAGGGCTCTAAAATATTCCATTAGGAAAAAATGTAATAGAAATGGGTTCTGAAACTTTCTTATTTAAAAAATACAAAATTATTGGGAGAATGAAGATGGTGGAAAAGCATAAGGACACATTTAAACAGATGGGGAAACATTAGCCAGTGTGAAGCAGACAGGGCAAGTCCAGGAAATAAGAGAGGACAGAACGATACAAGGAGAGCACCTGGAGACTGACGGGACACGGGAGAGCAGTGGACACAATGGTGTGGTGTTGCAGTGACCAATACCCCAGCTGCAACCAGCAAAGGCAATCTGAGCTACACCGGCAGCTGAAACTCCACCACCAACAAGGTGGGAAGGGGCATTCACCAGGAGCTCAGGAGGTGAACCCAGACAAGGAACTGCCCATCCTGCTGGTTTCTTTAACTTGACCAGGAGCAGAGAGAAAACAGCAGATCCCAAATAGGCGATGTGGGGACAGGGTGGATTTCAGCTTAGTCCTCCCTCTAGAGCCAAATTTTTATAGGCAGGCATAGGCAGTATTATGCAAGCACTGAGCTGGAAGTGAACTGATTTCTGGCCCAGTGAACTGCAACAATGTGGTATCCTACAGGTTCCAGCCAAGATAGGTCTGGGTAGCCCTCAGACCTAATGACCAGAACAAGAACTCTAGTACTGGCACATCAGGTGCCATTTTGTACAGTGTGGAAAACCTTAAGACTGTAGGGACAATAGTGAGCTGCGCATGCGCTGAGCTGGGAGAGAACTCCCTGAGCTCAGTGCATTGTACAGGTCCCACAGGGAAAGTAACACTGACTTCAGCACCTTATGGGTGAAAACAGGCCCATGTGATCCTCAGACCTAATAACCAACAGGTTCTGGCAAGATCAGCACCAGCAACAACCTAGTTACACAGGACACCTGGTGTCTCCCTAATCCTGGGAAATGCTAGAACCTGAAGTGGGAGAAAGGTTGTACAAACAACGGTGCAGCTTCAGCATGGTATCACAGGAGGGAGAGAGTGGTGAGCCAGGAGCTGGGCTACAGAGACCATGGTGGAAGTCTAACATAAGAACCCAGACCTAGAACTCGCTGGAAGGAGTGACATAAGTGATTGCAAACAAGGAGCCATGTGCCGATCACAATAAGTAAAGTCGAGTTGTAGACCTGTGGATGGCACAGCTTAGAAACCTGCTCCAAGGAGAAGGCTCTGCTAACCAGAAGTACAATGATCAAGAGCAAAACCCTTTGCTAACCTCAGAATTAACTGAGGAAGAAATCAAGAAAATGGAAGATACAGAATTCAGAAAACTCTTTATAAAGCTTCTTATCAACAAGAAGCACGTAATATAGGAGTTTAAGGAATTTAAGAAACATGTCCCACAAAAAATTAAACAAATGAAAGCTAATATATTAGAAATTAAGAATACAGTGGAGCAAATTAAAAGTGTAGTGGAGAGTCTATAAAATAGAATGAATGAAGCAGAAGAAAGAATCTCAGAAACAGAAGATATTTCCTGTCACCAGGAGGAAACCAAAAAAAGCTAGAAGCACAGCTGGGTCAAGCTAAAAAAAATATTCAAGAATTGAAACACACTATTAAAAGGTCAAACATAAGAGTTATGAGAGTCCCAGAAGGCGTAAAAAGAAAAACTGGGATTAAGGGTGTATTTAATGAAATAATAAGGGAAAATTTCCCTCATCTAGAGAAACCGATTGGGAAACAACATCCAGGAGGAGCACAGAACTCCCAACCGGGGTGACCAAAAGCGATCTTCACCACAACACACGATAATCAAGTTCTTTTCAATTGAACATAAGGAAAGAACCTTAAATGTGCATATGAAAAAAAAAAAACAATTGACATATAAAGGAATGCCAATTAAATTCATACAAGGCCTCTCATAGGAAACTCTATAGGCCAGAAGAGATTGGAGTGACATATACCAGATTCTAAAAACAAAAAACTGTCGGTCCAGGATAAAAACCAACAAAACTTTCCTTTGCCTTTGAAAATGACATAATATTTCACAGTAAAGAAAAGTTAGAAAAGGAATAGCACCCACCAAAACCAAAGGCAAATGTGAAGAACATCCCAGTACAATAACAACAAAAGACTAAATCAATGAACAATCCATTGCTAAAATGACAGGAAGAAATTACCACCCATTCATATTCGCCCTGAATGTAAATGGCTTAAACTCA